ACAAGATCGTATAATTTTTTCAAATGACAGCCGAGTAATATGCCGGCTATGCGAGGGTAAGTGGCGGGCTAAATCTGATAATTGAGTTTTATGCCATCGCACGTCGACGTAAATCCCCGCGAATACGGCGTGTCCCAGCCGCCTACCGCCGTATGGCGCCTCCACTTATCTTACATTCTCTGCATTAAGAGGGCACCGGCGCGGCACCGCAACTTAGGATGGAATTAAAACGGCGGGGAAAGCAAAAGAGGAACGCAAATCCTCTCGTTCGTTTCGAAGGCGCTTAAGTGGAGCGAGCAGCGAAAATGGAAATCCATGTAATTTTAGACGAATTCAAATTTCGCTACAGAAATATTCTGGCACCGCACGTAATCGTGACGTCGGAGATATTTTTTTGCATTTTTCACGACATCGAAAGGAAGATTATCAAATATCGCGCGCCTTTTTTTCTTTTCAAATACGACAAATCTTGCTACAGAAGCTTCGCGCGAGAGTCGATCGATCGACTCTCTACGAAAGAGAAGAGAGAACTTGCATTATCCTGCGAGACACTTAAATTGCTGCTTGTTACACGGTGCCTGCAAGCCGCGGTCATTGATCTTCCATGAGAGAACTAGCCGCTAAATTACGGACATCCTTTGGCTCGAGTTGGATCGTTGGTTACCGACGTGCTGCACGGAATACCTGAACGCCTAATCGAAAATCACTTTCGGACCAATTCAATTATAAAACAGTTAACGGAAAAAGATTGCGGGAGAAATGCGTGGGAATAATTAAACGCATAGATGGAAATAATACCGATACGCATACACACGCGGTACTATATTCGAAAATCGAATAAGATTTTTGTTGCTCCATTATCGAATTTGCATTATGAAATGCAGCCGCTACGATATATGACGCTTGATATATGCACCAATAATTCAAATTCGCATAGGTTAATTCGCTCGGCACTTTGCTTCGGATGCAAATTTAAATGCGCGTAATGCGAAATATATAAAATAAAATTTACTTATTCAATATTATTTAATCCCACATTAAACATCTAGTTATGAAATACGCAACCAATCATAATTGAACGTGCAAAAGCGCGCTACGTCAAAAATTAACAGCAGGCTATCGAACGAATTAAACTGAAATAAATTATATCAAAAGCCGAATTAAGCGTTAATGAGTCATGCGAAATAATTCGTCAACATTCATCATGTAATACTTATTATGTAATGAATATGTAAATCATATTAATGTGTGATTACCGACTTGACGAGGCTAAACTTGTAACACAATATCCTATCTCTTCTGCAAAATCAAGATTCTCTTTTAACTTTCAAAGAGACTCGCGAGGATAGATAAGAGGATTTACTTTTATTTTATTTACATATTTTCAGCACTATATTTACCTCACAATGACTATATAATGCGTAAATCTGAACTCTAGAGTTCGTAATTTTCGACAAACTGCAAACGATAAAAGGCGCCGCTCGCAACAAGCTCGAACAAATCGGATCGTTCTATTCGTGCCGGCTTGCCTCTGATTTACGATCCCAGCTGGCCAAATCGCTCAATCAACGTAGCAGAGTGACCGGTACGTTGAAGTGTCTAGAACGAACTATCTCGTTTCCGACTTGATTGCAATCATCTGCGAGGTGCTTGCGTGCGATACTTCGGTGCCACTTTTCTCGCGACAACAACATATCTACCTATCTACCCTCGAGAATCGAATGTATCGCTATTATAGATTAATCTGAAACAATAATGAATAATGAATCAATGAGAAACAAAATGTCAGATGGCGAACAATGTTGATACCACTTGATATGTACAGCGCGAATGGAAATGCGTATCTCACGAAGCTAATAACGGCGTGGGTGGTCTTTAACCCCTGATATAACGCATATATATGTAAATCAATATTCAATTTCCTAATTAATATTAACTTCATGCAAAACTCCTCCGTTTATTATCATCATACTATTGCTTGAGAAATTAACTCTCTACTGTATATAATGATAATAATTTATCTTCTTTTTATCTGATTTTTTCCGATTCTCAAATTGTTGATCCGAATTTATGACATATATTAATGACAGTGATATATCCTTTTAAACTACTGAATGTGTTCACTTTCCGTTGATTTTTACTCCTGCATTTTTATTCTTCCATCTCTCACGCCAGGCTTATCTCACTTATCGCGATGCGCCGGCCCTGGGAGCCGGGAATCAATCCGATAACGCCAGTCTGATGAGATATCAAGCCGGAACGGTTCGTGCCGGCCCGATCGGCACATTCGATAAACACGACAATAAAGAATCCCTCGAGGTTCGACTACGTTGGCGTGTCGAATCGGCGATGACAAGATCGATCGTCGACGCGATATATACATATATATATATATATATATATATATATATATATATATATATATATATCTCGAATCGCGAACGAGCAGCGCGTGCCGCGAATCTCGTCGGGCCCGAATCCTTTATATTGGGGTCGCGTCGACAATCGGCCAGTGCGTCGGCGAGTAATTGAAGGTTGTATCGGGAAAGAGAAAGGGAGAGGGAGGGGACGTTAAGCCCGCTCGGCCAGACAAAGGCTATGCGATGAGAAGGGACGGGGAGGCATGGAGAATTAACGAATCGATCGGCAATTAACATGCTCATTTTGCCGGGGCAATCGAGGCGAGCCAGGGAACTGGCGTAATTGCGTCGCGATTATGGCGCATACCGCATTGTTCTCGCACATTGCATACGCAAACAACCGAAGATTAATTAACGTAAAATAAAATTTAATCGGCAGCGATGCGTCCTCGCGAGAAACGCGCATCTGCGGGAAAGGCATCTCAATTGCGATCTAAAATTCGACACCTGGTCATTCAAAACATTCCTAGACTTAATCGAAACGCAACTTTGAAAACAAGATTACGAGTAACATTTAATATGTAATAAAATAAAATTCAATATTTAATAAAATAAAATTAAAAAATGCATTCGTATAAATCTCGTGATAGAAATCAAGAACGAAATAGAATAGCACAAAACAGGAATATTTTTAAAAAGCGATAGAGATCAAATGGCCAACATTGTGTTTCCCCTTCAAAAAGGGTAGCTCGATCTTAATGTTATACATCTCGGAAATGAGTCTCTAGCAGCTGGTTAAACGTGTCGCAGGGGACGAAGAGAGAAACGGACGATACTCATTCTCATTTCTCCGCAGGAGTGAATGGATGTTGCGCAAACCGCAAAGGAGATGCGAATACGTACTTCCGATGTCCGCTGGCATGTAATATCAGCCGCATGACCGCGACCACCACACCACCATCGCGACTGTTTGCAAGTCGACGACGCAGTCGCGATACATATATACGTAGATTTACGCTCGTTTTATTGCCCTCGGTACTTGGCATACTTCGTTTTACGGTCGTCGCGCTCGGATTTTCGCCGTGCGATGGAATTTCGTTATTTCCGCCATGAGGTCGAAAACCACGAACATCGTACACTTCTCCCGTCGAAACAACGCGGGAGCCGCGTGCCACCCTACGAGTGTACATCCATATGCTCGGAGGTATGCAAACCTGAACTGCAAGCAGAAAAGTTCCCTCGCCACCGCTTCGTAGCACAAATAATCTTTTAGAAGCCACTACAATTTTAATTGCGATCTTTCTCTTTCACAGTTGTACTTAAGCAACAACGAGAAGGGAGAAGAAAAGCTTCACGATCAAGTTCCTGCGAAAGATAAATCGAAGCATCTATAGATATTGTTCTTCTGTTTGTTTTTCTTTCAAATTTTAGTCTCGAGATCGAAAATCCTTCCCGTTCCATTAGATATCAAAGTTTCACCCGCATGATACGTCACGAGCCGCATGACGAAGTTTCAAAGTTTAATATTATCGACCTAAGAAATTAACGATTCTTCCGTAATTTGGGCGAGAACGACGTGCCTGAAAAGTACATTAGCGAATGCAATTTGCGACCCGCACGACGCTGTCCCGATATGCAAACGTTCGATTACACAACCGAGGATGCATCAAGTTTAAATTGAATAATGATCGTTCCGCGAAACGAGCCTCCATCGCCCGATAACAACGCAACAATGATAATATGTAATTCAATTAATGTCGCGACTGTGCACGAGGGCATGCTCATTCCAATTTGCTATTCTCGAACGTACTATTCACAAACGAGCGCCCTTGGCTCGTTTTCCCCTGGCTCAAGCCAGGATCTCACTAGCATGCGTTCTTGCTAAAATTTTATCGTCGCTATATCCTTTTCACATAACACGATTTGCGTTCTTGAATTAGCAAAATATTGCAGTTCAAAACGTTAATTATAAAACGCGGACAATATATGTGTGTTCGTTTTTACCCGTAATATCCCAAAATGTACATCTTTTCGTTAATTTATGTCGCTTATTTACATAGTAATGTAGAAACGTAATAATGGGCAGTAGCTTCCGGTTCCATCACTGCCATTTATCTCCGTTAATTCCATTAATGCGCCCCGAAAGGTATATTAATTTTCGATGAAATACTTTTTATCTCGTGACGTTGAGCTAAACTAACAGCGCGGTAAAATATCATCCTGCATTCATGCAATTATCATGGGTACATTTGGATCTAAACCATATTTATGTTCTTTATTACTCATCCACTTTTTTATGGAGGATATCGACGATAATTTTATCGCGAAAACATTTTTAATTCAAGCTGTTCTACGATATTGTTGCTAACGGATTTAATACATTTTATATAGATACACGCACTGTGCTTATCTTCCCTATAATAATACTATTATTTTCATCCATTAACGGAAAGAATGGCGTTCGTATCATCAAATCGAACCCACCCCAGATCGAACATAAACTTTCGCATTGTAAAATTTCATGTTATTTCGTGTTCGGGCGAAATTGTATTTTCGATTCTACATTGCCACTAACGTATTCGTCACGTGGCAAACGCAAACAGAAAAAAAGAGACGTGTATCCTAGGGAATATCGCGTACCTGGGTATTCCTCGTATATCCGTATCCCATAAACCTCTCATCGTGAGACGGTGCGATATCTTTCGCCACGTAAAACGGCTCGTAAAGGAATTCGAAATTCGTCACGTCATGACTAACGTAGACCTTACCAGTCCTTACGTTTTCATGATATTTATGGGTCGGCGACACGTCCTGTAGCCACCTGTAAAATAAAAAGTTCTCAAGCATATATATGTTGCGCAGTATTCAAATAACAGTGCTTAATTAAAACTTTATATTATATTTTTATAATATATATTATAATATGTAAAAAGAAAAAAGGGAGAATCGCAATCAAGTATGAATTACGTTCGAATAATCATCTCTGAATAACGATAAAATTATATATATTGAAGTCATACAATAATGTAACTTTAAATAGAAAAATCATTACATTATTCACGTTATTATATTGATTCAATCACAATTTAAATTGAATTAATATTTCAAATATTATAAATCGATTACATAAATGTATTTTTAAATAATGTCAATATATATATGATTATATATATATATATATATATATATATATATATATATATGATTATACATTATTCAGTTGATTGAAGCGAATTCCAACAAATTTATACAGAGCTAATTTTTAATAAAATCACTTACCTTGTAAAGTTTGTGGCGAATTGATTATGTATAAAGACTTTTTGATGAAAGGGTCTAGCTAAACCTTTCCTCGCAAGCCTGATGAGTTCCGTCTTGTTCTGGGGGAATCTCATACGCGTATCCAACTCATATGTAGGTATTACGTAGGCGCACTTATCACAGTTGTCGTTTCTGAGGAACTCATCGAGCGCGACCGACAGATTGAAGCTCGGTATGATATCAACGTCTGTCAGAAACACATAGTCCGTCTGGCAGTTCTTGCGCGCTAAGTTACGCATATGATTCTGCGGATAAACGTTTCGTATCCGCCAATTGGTCTGCTCGCTGGATATGTGGCTCGCGAACTCGTTCAGAGTGGCTTCCGGTTTGGCACAATCAATAATATCGGGTAGCTCAAAGACGCGCGGCTGTTTCTTAGGCGGTCGCATCCTCGGTACAGCCAGAGAGAAGATCACTCTCTCTCTGATGGACTCGTAGCATTTTCTCAGGTACACCAGGTAACGTTGCAACACCTCAAACTCTTCGTCACCGGCAGCGTAAAGCGCCACGGACATCGGTCCGGTCCAGTGCAGAGCGACTTGCACCAACGAATGTAACTTTTCCACGGAAGTCTGGGTAGCCAAACACACCCGGTAGGTCTGCGACAACTCGGTGAATTTGCTACCGACTAGCACCGAATCAAACGTTCGAAATATCCGTCGTGCGTCCCATCTACCAAGCTTGATATCCAGCTGCAGATTGTTACTGTCAGGTGACGTCGGTTGATAATCCTGCGTAATACATTCTGACTGTTGTTCCTGCTGCTTGACGAGGGTACCGAGATTCCACTCGGTGACCGCGCTCACCTCCATCACTTTTCGTGGGATGGTCTCCGGCACACAAGTTTCCGATTGTAACAGTAAGAATGTTAGCAGCATGTTCGACAGCGCCAAGATGATCACGCTCGTCAGACTGAGATTCCATGGCCGGCATCCCAGCTGAAAAACAATAAAAAAAAATTTGCACGTCATCGGAACCGATATCATTCTGGAAAATTCAGATTTCGGGATACCACAAGCATACAGGAGAATGATTTTAATTAACGATCAAGTATACGTCAATTATATTTTGAATTATATTATATTCAATTATATAATTAATATTTTGAATTATATTATATTTTATTTGAATTAAGAAAAGAATAAAGTTACAAGTAATACTTATTATATTTAAAAAAAAGAAAAGATTCGAATTTTAAATTAATATATTTCGTTTGTAATATTAAGAGAACATTAATTCATTAAAATGATAGCAATGACATGATGAATTAATTATACGATTGTATGATTGTGATGAAGCAAAGATATGGAATAATAACAAAGTTCTATCATAATTCATCGCGATTTCATCTTGATTAATTATTGTGCTCATACTTGTAAAAGTCGCCGAAAACTTGACAAAGAAAGTAATCGTGATGCGAATATCATGTGTTCTCATTGTAACCTGTCCGCATTAAATCGTGGAACGACTTCCCTTTTCGCCGCATTTTACGTTCACCACTTATTCTTCCAGAACCGCGGGGCACAATGTGTCGCCGACTAGCGTGAATAATTTCATAGGGACACGTGAGCGGAATAAAATAGATCATGGTGAGATGAAGTCGTCGCGTAATGATGAATTTCGCATTTGCAGCGGCAGACTAACGTCTCGAAAAACATTAATCCAGATAATGCGAATCCTTCGAAAAACAATTGGAGGTACATGTAAAGCGTGTTATTTGCTTGTAACAAATAATTTGTACATAAAATATTTCATTATTCGTAAGAAAGCACAAAAATCTGCGAATTAATTTTGGTCGGGGGATATTTGCCAATTGTTATTTACATTTAGATATAACGTAAAATACAAGAGAAAACATATTTCTTTTAACATTTTCTTATTTAGAAATTATGCAGCTCAACGTTTGTGAAAATTATTAGTTTTAGATCCAAGAAAGATAACTTCTTTGACACATGGAACATGAGACTAAAACAGACGGTAAGAAAATACATTCGATAAAATGCAGTCAAGCGCGCATGTTGTTCTACACCGTCTTTAAACGTATCAAAACGTGTAATCGGATTATACCTTTTGCGCGTATTTGCGAGAGAAGTTAAAGAAAGTGGACTGGGGAGGGAGGGATGCGTTTAAACTAGAAATACCTCGCTCCCTTCTATAAACAGGGAGATTATCCCGATGGATGTTCCAAGCGAAGAACTTATGATAACACCGCAACGGCTAGCGTTGTTTTTAAACAAACCCATGAAAGTGGTTCGGTCATCGACGAAAGCAAACTGCTGAGCAACTTGCCGACAACAGCTTGTCGGCTGCAGAGCAAGAGCTACTTTGCTATCTTAATTATCAGTTTGCTGTTCGATGGAATCCGTTGCAAAAATCAATGCTTGTTTTATAACGAGATAAACGAGGAAAAAAGGGAAGCAGGTTTCGGATATCACAAACAAACAAAAAATTAAAACGAATGAGAGAAATATGTTTTTGCAAATTATTATCTTCAAATACAATTTTTATCAAATTTCATAAATATAAAAATAATAAAAACTTTAAAATGTTAAAAAGAAAAAAAAGAAAATGTCCAAAATTTGGTCACGAGCACAATCGTTGAAGTTTTATGTCACGAGCACAATCATTGAATCGATGAAATAAAAAATTTCTAATAACGCATTCTTTGTATGGCGCTCGCAAAAGAAATATTAATTATCATTTTTCTTTGAAACAGTAAAATCTCCAATATTTCGTTCCTAACTTGGTATTAAATACAATATCGAATAAAAATATTGCCCTTATTACATTATTCTTAAAATAATTAAAGGATTTTTATATCCTTCGCTTTGATAACGCTTCGCATATTTTTATTCAAATTTTATTATTATTCAAATCTCTACGATAAATATTTAAAAAACTAATTTTGTATGTATGTATGTCTGCGTAAAAGAATATATGTGCAGCTTACTCTATATTTACTTTCGCAGCAAAGTTTCATGAACTAAACTTTAAGGCTGAAACTTCGCGCGTCGAATTGTGGTTCGCTCAGGATGCCAAACACTCTTCCCCTCCAATATTAAACCTTACAAAAAATCGCGCAACCAACTAAATCGTGTTCAACTAACTGGGCGGGGAAATCCGCCCTAATGCACCATAGGGAACAATGTGTTGCTTCGTAAACGTAAACGTCGGTCGTAAGTATTCCGCACAACAAGTTTCGTGTTGGCAAAGGGCAAAGGGTAGCCGCAGTGTCTACTAACTGTTGTGAACCTACTGAAAATTATATACATGCCGATAAGAACTTCGGCAACCCTTCCTTGCACCGTTCAACATACACCTCCCGCTTTCCATCTGGATGTTCAACCGGCGGAACTAACACCCGAGGTAAAATCTTCGCGCCCAAGGGAGATAAATCATCCTTCTCCTACTTCCATCCTCTCCTCTCCCTCCCGATTCCCGACTCACAATCTTCCTGCACAGATCGCCAGCCTCACCGACAAGCAAACCTTGGCTATTTGGATGCGCCCGCATCTCCTCGAGCGAGTATGGGAAGAAAAGTCTCGAGTGGAAATGCATCTTCTCAAGGAGTCTTGACCGACTTGGGAAAGCGGATATCGGATGCATTAAGGTCACTTGTGTGTGGAACGAGTAGCGCGCGTAATGTATTCCTTATGATGTTACATTCTCGCGAATTACAGCCACAATATATATATAGTATGTGTAAAACGCGCGTATGTTTACCCTAAGATGCATTTACACACCTTCCTCCTGCGCAGCAGGATATTCGACGAATGTGGCAAATGCAAATATTTGATGACTCAAAGGCACATTCGAGCGTTATGTCAATTCGATGACGATGGAAACGTAAGTAAGAGTGATATTTTCATGACGTTCCTATTTTAACTAAAAAGCGCAAAATTATTAATAAGAAAAAATGTTAAAAATGTGTCTTTTAGCTCTCTAAGTTCTAGCCTATTTACTTTCATTATTATCATACTTTTAAATTTTTGCCAAGATGCTCCATATATTATACATTTATATTTCATATAATAATTGAATAAAAATAGTTCAAATTTATACACAACGTAAACTGCAAAAGAACTATTACAATTTAATTAAATTATTCAAAATGATGCTACAGTAGACAGAAAATAAAATAACGCGAGAATCGATTGTTTGATATCGATGTAACTTTATTCGCTCCCCGTTTGTAACATGTCTATAAACTAATAATGTAGGCAATTAAGTTTGACTTGCACTTATTACACATTCCTATGGATAATATATAAAAACGGTGGCTTTGCATGTAAGTTGCGTAAGCCATTAAACACATTTTGCGAAAAAAATAGAGAAAAAGTGCCGTTTTGTAGAATTGTTCAAAACAGCGACAGCGACGGAAAAAAAGTTTGCGAACTCCAGCGTACTATATTTTTCTTAGCGCGCGCTCCAAGAAAGACCACCATTACATATGACGATGATACGTATAACGTAGTAACCACAATTTCGTCATAACTATTTTCTTATAATTTGTTCGATAAACGCGATTTTTCCACTACCATGTTTTCTTTCCATTTCGCTGCTTGCCGTATCATTATTGTGAAAAAGTTAGGAACGAGTACCTCGACGACGCAATCATCTTTGTTTTGCGTAAAAAGAACCGCGGAAAAATATGTTTGCATCTTCATGTATGAAAATCTATGGAAATATCGCACGATGAAGCAAAAGTAATCTTGTAGCGCATGTTTTTATTAACACGCGATATGGTATCTTTCTCAAATCCTCCTTTAACATGTATGTTTCAATCATCACGTAAATTAATCTATAATTAATCGCAAAAGAAATATAAAATGCGATACTTGTGAAATATATTCAATAAATCGCAAACGTAAGGATCTCGTATAAAAGTTTCTTCCCTTAGAAATATTCTTCTAGAAAACAAAGTATTATTTTTTTAATGTTGCAATGATGTAATAATAAAATTACACAGCATAAACGATAATATAACAAGCAATACAGAGTATGTAGAAATGAAGTAGAAAAAATGAGAGAATATAATACATGCTGTGCACAATAAAGCAATTATGAGTATGAAGGGATTATTAAAAAGCTTTCATGTGCTACGTCGACAAAACTCGTGGACGTTTCTTTGTCGCATCACGTCCTTCGTTGTACACGTTAGTTGTAACCTAATGTCCACGAAAGGTCGTAGCACGTCGGTGTCGGGAGAGAACATCAGTTGCAGAGATTTTTATAACCCAGAGCGGAAACCCCGATGTGCAACCATGCATGCCGGTGTAAAACGCGAGAAAATTCCAGCCGTCGTCAAGGTTCGCCCGAGAGGACACTGTACCAGCGTTCGTGTCTAGGTAGGCAGATGTATTAACTCGTCGTGACGTCACACACGACTGCGGGAAAAGAGAGAAGGAGATACGCGACGTCCTCGTGTTCCCTGCAAGGATGTTTGCATGCTATTACCGCCAGCAAATCCCTCTACGTCGCAGCGGACGCTCATTACAATTGCAAGCGAGGCAGGCGCGCGTCGCAGAAAGTAATATCAGAATGCATTGGGATGTGCATCCGGAAGTGTCCCGAATCCGCGTTCTTCGAAAGGAACCCGAACACCCGACTCTCTTTTCCTTTTCTTCGCTTTTCCCCCCGGCAGCGTGCGACTGGCGAAGCAGTCTCCGCATAAAGAGAGGGAATTTAATATTTTCGAAGAAAATTCTCTCCAAGTCCATTAAAAAAAGGAGAGAGATGATCCGTGACGTGAGAATGTATAACTCAATGATCTTGTAATTAGTGTGCATATCGATTGACATTTGAGGATTAGATAAAATTATCAAATTATTATTCCGAGTAAATTCTCAATTTACGTGAATTTATATTCCGATTCAAGTGTGATTCAAGATATACGCATAAACTCTCTTTCTTCTTGCCATTCGCAAAATTTCAAATT